GCCGTGCCGTGCCGTGCCGAGCCGTGTGCGGGGCTGCTGCTGCGAAGCCGACTTTGTAGCTTTTTCTAATGCCTGTGAGATAAATGGCGATGCAGTCGTCGTGCGGTGTAAGGGGCCGGTAATTTCTTAGGTGTCGTTTTCACAATTTCTGTGATTCTTTTTAGCTAAATGATCTGTAATGGGTTTGTGGGGTTTTTTTAGCTGGGATGGAAATTCTACGATGCAGACGATTATCATTCTCCAGAGAATAAAAAGAAGATGGCAGAAGGGATACCACTAAATGATGAGGTACCTTGCACAAACCCTGAAGCGTTTATCTTTGTCACCCCTGGCACATCGTGTTGAAGTAGGTGGTGCTTTATGTAGACTAAGCTGATTGTAAGCATAGGCTGAATTTATTGGTCTGCAGTTGGTATGAGGGGGAGGCTTCTTGTTTACAAAGGATTCTGCATAAAAAAATATTTTCTCAGAACGTGCTCAGTAGCTTAGAAGGGGTTTGATGCTGATTCAGGATTTGTCAGAAAACTCCCTCTACATCAATTTACAGAGTTGCAGCTTTAGATTACGTGCTGCTTCTTTGAGCTAAATACATGAAGACAGAGACGTGTCACCACTCAAGTATATTTAATTGCTTTCGGTCACTGCAGTGATTACTCCACAACCTTCTGTTTTATATGCTCCTGCTTAACATGTGCTTCCTTCCCTTCAGCCTGAACAGATAAAAATGATCCAGTTTAGTTTTAAAATACTTATGACTTCAGACACTTGAGTTAATTAGAAAAGTTACAAGGTGACACCTCTTGAACTTTTTCTGGGAAATCTCTAGAAACATGAAGCTGAACTAGGGAGTTCTTCAAAGCACTCTCTGTAGACTGAAAAAGAAAATTATAGATTCTTGTTAAAAGTTTTAATCTTTTGCTAGTGTCTGGAAGTTCATATAAGCCAGTATGTTGTTTAAAGCAGCACTGTGCAACTGAATGACTAAACCATTGGTGCATGGTGCCCAGCAAGAGGGAAGCAACTCTTCTAAAACACCAGAGGGGCAAAAGTGTGAGAGCCTTCTTGAATGCCAGTGGGAAGTTATTCTGTAGCGAGAGTAACAAAAAGTTGTTGCATTTACTTGTCCCCTTTATAATTTGTTGTGCTCACCCAGCAGTAACGGCACTGAAAGACGAAATGGGAGTAATTGTTTAGTGCTCAGTAGGTATGACAAAAGTTTGTGGGAGCTTAAAATTTAAAATAAGATTATAATGAGAAACTGATCAATCATGCACATTGTGTTTGCCTAAGTACTGAGCAAAGGTCTTGCAAAATTGTGGCTAAGATTGCGTTTATTTGTGATTGCTACTGACATGAAAATGCTGTAATTAAGTTATTGCAGATAACTAAATTTAGATCTGTCCCTGAAAACCTCAACTTTTATCCAAAGCATTATGTATGTATGCCAAGGTACAAGGAAAAAGAAATAACATTTCAGGCTGTACATTTGAACTGGATAATAGAAGCAAGAGAGAAGTTATCTGTCCTTCAAAGATTTACAAGGTGCTGCCTGCATGTAAATACACCTTACTTCCATCAGATAGCTGTAGCTATCTGTAATATAAAAAGTACTATTCCACTAAAAACATCTTCTTGATAATATGCCTAGCACTTCTCGTTAGCCTTCAGACAGTGGTAGCAAATTTACATTAGGAAGAAACAATCAAAACTGAACTTGCTGTACAGTTAGAAAAGGCTCATTTTCATCTGTAGTCATAATGCTTTAGACGTTAGAAGCAATTGTTTCAAATCAATTTCATGAACAATTTTGAACTAACATATTTTCTTTCTAGGACAGGATTCCCTGGCTCTGTGCATTGCATGACGTACTAAGGAGGTAAGAGAACATCTAGCTCTAAGGAGTTTGGGCTAAAGACAAAAAAACGTACAAAAGTATTTTGCCCATTGCATTCCAGAGCAGATATATATGTAGTAGTGTAACACATCCTGCAGGTAGTAAAGCCATTCTGTTTTCACTAATCTAAGTTGTCACAATTGTTGCTGACAGTGAGATAATCCATGAATAATAGTGTTGGGAAAATTGTTGCCAATGATAGTTGTTTTTCTGCCATCTGTAAAAATAATTTCAAGGATCCAGTTCAGTAATAAACCTGACAGTAGCTACTTACAAAGGACATAACTACAAAATACACTGATAATGACAGTAGGATAAAATTTTGTAAGATATTGTCAGTTTGAGTAAGATATAGTATCGGGTTTGCTTGAGAAGCTGATGAAGTACAGGCTGGATGAGAAGACAGTGGGGTGGATTGTCAACTGCCTGAACAGCCAGGGTCAGAGGGTGGTGATCAGTGGCACAGAGTGTAATTGGAGGCCAGTAACTAGCAGTGTACCCCAGAGGTCAATACTGGGTCCCATCCTGTTTAACATCTTCATTACTGATCCGGATGATGGGGTAGAGTGTTCCCTCAGCAAGTTTGCAGAGGACACCAAACTGGGAGGAGTGGCTGATCCAGAGGGACGTTGACAGGCTGTAGAAATGGGCTGACTGGA